AGCCTATAGCAACATAATTACAGAAATTCTCAGGATACTCTTAGCCACTCTCAATATATGCACTATATTGAGAGTAGCTCTGGTTATCCTGAGCAGGTGCTGATGTCAACATGTACAGGTCAGCCTGTCTTAGTTTTTTGTAGACAAACACCTCTGATACTGACTGAGGGATACTGATCGCAGATGGAGATAACATCTGTCTTTCGCTGTAAGCCTTCTGCTTCTCCACTATTTATTGAAAAGTGGGAGATCAGGTTTATAAATTTATTCTTCTAGACAATTCAGAATTAAACATTCCCATAAGCGAATAGGAATATGTTTGGACTGTGAGAGGGTGTTAAAGCAACAGGTAAGAACCATCAGATAGACAGACGAAACTTAAAACATCAGTCCAAAGCCAAAACCTTCTTTTTACAAGAGCATCAGCTCCAACTTCTGTACTATAGTACAGAAGCCATATAGAACTGTGAGCTAATTTTCAAACCCAGTGGTTCCATGGTTTTACAGCATGGTATTCCAGTTTTTTTTTTTGGGTGTCCACATTTGCCTCAGTTTCATAAATCAGTTTTAAAAACAGTACAAATTGCTTATGAATGGATGCCATGTCCTCTATGATGTTCTCCTTGTGGCTCATGTCATCCAAACCCGAATAAATTTTGCCAAAAGTTTAGCTGAAATGAAAACATCCTGTATGTTTTTCAGTTGATGTTTTAACATCACAATAGTTGAGGGAAAATAATACGAAACAATTTATAATGGGCTGTGAGTCACATCACAAAAGAGATCATTATACTATGTAGCAGTCCAGTATGGAAACGTTTGAGATCTAATCAGGGGTTTTTACTGTTACATTTTTTTTCTTGTTTCTCTTGATCCTTCTGTGGACTTTTCCCCTATTTTTGGCTTGTGACAGACTCTTTATATCCTCACTGTACATTCTGGCTGCTTTTGTGTCCTTTTTAATTGCTCTGCATCTAAGCCAGCTTCTTGATCTGTAATTTGTCTTATGTTATATCTGTTTTTCTTCTTAGTTTTTTACAACCTCATCCTAAATTCATAATTTGCTCCTTCTAGCAAGTCTTATACCTTAGTGTTTGTGTTTCTTTGTTGAATAAGAATTTTAAGGCCTTCACCTTTTGCTGAACTCCTCTGAAAAAATCCATTCATGGTTGAATTTTTTATCTTTATATTCATATTTTCTGATTCTAAAATTCAAGTTGCTCAGAAACTACATCATACAGTTTTTAATATGTTTGTATGTTTGAGGGGTTTCAAAAATCTTCCTTATAATGATAAGGTATTGTTCAGTGTTCATTTAATATTTGTTCATAATGTGCTTGTCAAAGTTATCCACTAGAGGGAGGTGTTGCATTGTCAAAACAGAAGTTAAAGCGCCACAGACTATATCTAAAACCTGTATGCAGTTTTCAAAATAACCGTGGAGGAGGTTGTCTAACACTGCATTACTGAAACTTTTACAGTCATTGTTTATTTTCTAAATTGTATTCAAAGCAATACTCTAAAACTCCTCTAATTGCCTACTTCAATTATTGGATTAATCAGAGGTGGCCTTGTTACTGTGGTGTAAAATCATTGTGTTGTGCATAACCTATGTTTGATCAGGCTTAAGGTTTTGTTGATGGTTCCTTGACGTAAATTAATTTATTACATGTCGTCCACATATTGAGTAAACATTCCACCCACTGCCAACACCGTGCTTAACTATCTGTATTGGTTTTAGAGTAAATGCAATATGACATAGGTGTCAAACTCATTTATATGGGGCTGCTTTAGCATTATAAAGCCTTTTAAGGATCATAGGCAGCTATTAAAATAAAAATGTTGATATCATGATTTGAATTACAAGACTCTACTTTATTATAAATTTACTCCCATTTATTAAGTAGTTTAACCACTGCTACTAACATATTTTTTTTATAAATATGAAGCAGATCTTAATGAAGCTATGGGCTCACTCATAGAAACCATTTTTATCTATTCTCATTTTGAGACCTGAGACATGAATATAAACTAAGTTATAGAGGTTTACTGTGCTTCAGATCTTTCGTGACATCCTTGTTAATTCAATGCTATACTGTTTTAACTTCCTTTCTTGTTTTTCCCAGTTGTGAATACAGTAACACTCATTTTGTTTTCTGGAGCCCCAAAGTCTTAGGATTACCTTTGTAATCCTCTCAAGATTGAAAGATATCAGTGTCTTTGTTTTTCTACAGTTATACTTTTTATTTAGACGCTTTGCTTTCTGACAACTTCCTTATTGAAGGTTATCATATATCTCCAGCTGTCTATAAGGCAAGAGGCAGGGTACACCCTGAACAGGTCGCTAGTGCATCACAGGGCAACACAGAGACAAACAAGAAGAACAACCATGCCCACCAACACTCATACCTAAGGAGAATTTAGAGAAGCCAAATACAGTCATGTTCTTTGACTGTGGGAGAAAGCCGGAGCACCCTGAGAGAACATGCTCAAGCACAGGGAGGTTATCTTAAATTATCATAGCTTATTTCAACTGCTTGTATCCAGTTGTCATTGATCCTAAAAAGCATTTGCTTTCTTCACCAAATGAGACCACAATCACATTTGCAGATAACATTTGTTTGCAAAGTAATGAATGAAAATAATTATAGACAAATGATAATATTGGGATTTGCTTTTTCATCAAGTCCACTTTTGTTGATTGCGTGCTCTTCCTGCATTAGTTAATTTAGATCCATATTTATTTTGACCTTTTTCTGGTACTCTATGAAGTTTTGTTCTTGCCTTATTAATTTGGACTCTGGGATTGTTGCATGTTATAACTTTCCTTATTGGTAAAGCTTAAAGTTAGATTGATCAGGCGCGCTATATCTATAATTACTGTGTGCTGCTATAGGCTTAGACTGCTGGAGAACATAAGGATCCCTTTTCATCATTCTATCTCTGTTCTCCAGTTTTGCATATTTTGTTAGTTAAACTCCCTCTGCTTGTTCTCGCCATTGTTGCTTCTTCTGGTCTGGTCCTGTTTGGCTGTGACACCGTCCTGGAAAGAAATATCACCTTTGAGTTTTGATGATAGAGTTGGACCTTTTTTATGTTTAGTCCTGTTTCTCTCCTCGACATAGATGGCCTCAGCTTTTACTGTGACTAACCGTTTGTACTCTCATTCATTCTTTTTGAAATTAACATGTGTAACTGTTTGTAGTTTTCTAACGTAGAAAGTGTTTTTGGATCAGGTCTTTTGTAGGTCTGAGAATGCTGGTGTTTCCTTCTTAATAAAAAAGCAGTTTTTCCTCATCACTACTGCTACATACATGGTCGTTGTTTGGGTTGCAGAAGTGAACAACAAAAATGTAAGCAAATATCTACTGATGCCATGTTCTCATCCAGGAGTAGCAAATCCTGCAAAGTCAATCACTGGATTCCAAAAAAAAGTTAAAAAAAAATAATAATCGACTGGACTTTGTTTCCAAGTTTAAAGACGTTTCGCTTCCCATCCAGGAATCTTTTTCAATTCAACGTGTGAAAAATTTTATTGAGTTTGAGGCTTTATAAAGTGGACCAAAAACAAAGCCCTATTTTGGCTTAGAAAACATGCAAATTGAATCGGACAAACAGGTCCCCCCATAGGAATGGGGGTTTGAGTTGTTTGTTTGCCTGTAATACCCGATACCTGTCTATATTTATGAAAGAGGGACGTTAGAGGGAATCGTTGGCCTGGCTGAAAGAGGCAAGGTGTTTTGGTCCCCTCTATGGGGGTGTGGGTTGATGATAGCGGGAAGGAATCCACTCAATTGCTGCATTGTAGGTTTTTGAAGGCTGAAATCTTGAGTCCACATAATCTGTTTAAGGTTGGTTTTTCTTTCTTTGCATAGATGGCTTCCTTCACGCCCCTCTCAAACCACCTATCTTCTTTGTCCAAAATTTGAACATTCTGGACCTCAAAAGAATGTCCTTTGTCCATAAGGTGTAGATGTACCGCCTAGTCTTGTCCCGAGGAGTTTGGTCTTCTGTGCTGGGCCATACGTCTGTGGAGCGGTTGTTTGGTTTGTCCCATATAGTGATATAAAGATCTATGTTTTTAACTTTTTTTTAACTGACTATGACCTTGACGACTAGGAATCTTTAGCAGCTCAATGACTGGATGCAATCAGATGGTTTTTCCTTAAAGAGAAAACTTGTGAATCTGAATGATTGGAGTGAATTGATTCTGTAAAGTGCCTTGATATGAAATATTTTGTGAATTGGCACTGTAAATAAACTGAAATAATTCAAACTTTTTTTTTTTTTAACAGTGTCCTGTCTTGGCAATAGGAATAATTGTCTTGATGCCATAATTCAAACTTTTGAAAAAGATAAAGCTACTTTGTATTTTAAGGTTAAAACATCAACCTGAAAGATTAAACAGCGAAGCTCTTTTTGAAAATGATGAACAACCTTTAAGGTGATGTCTTCATTCCTAACATGTTCATGTCAGGAAGCAAAGTGTATCGTCAGATGCTGGTTTGCCACAGGCCGAATAATCATGTGATTAGTCTTATGTTAAATCAACCTGAGTATGGCTTACTGCCTCCCAGTCCTGCAAGCATTGCTCAACATGTTTATTTGTTACTCTTGTATCCATGGTAACGTCACATGGTCAAAAAAAAAAAAAAAAAAAAAAAAAACTTTTTGTACTGTAGGATTTTTAACTTACTGAAATGGACTCGGATGCAAATACTGCAGCTTCTAGAGAGTTGTAGCATTTTTTTCCAGAGGCTCCAAATTTGCTCAAAGCCACTCCAACTGTCTACATACTGTACGGAACAGGGAAAAAACAGTCACCAACTATCCTGCATGAATCATTACATAATTAGATTTGCTATGACTCAATATCACAAGCAAAAGAGAACAAAACCGCCACTGTTACTGCTTCACTTTCTTAAAGAAGCAGAAACTGTTTCTTGCTTGGTCTATTTGAATGATTAAAAAAGCAAATAATGACAAACAATTGCACAATAGATTATATTACATTTTATTTGTGCCAAGTGTGATAATGTACATAAAAAGAAGCAAGAAAGGAAAATTATTTCTTACAAAAAAAAAAAAATCCCTCTCAGAATTAAAAAGCTAATTTTCAACAGGTGCTGAAATACTATATCAAATCATGTAAAAAAACAGCAGGTAAACTTAATGTGAAAGACACTTAAAGCTAGGTTAGGCATGTCGGTAAAACAGGACTCAGACCAAATACCAGCCCGTTTTACCCTGTCCAGTCCTTGGATTCACCACTTTTTTTGAATCACATCCACAGACCAGAGACAGAGCAGCGGACAAATCAAGGGTAGGGTGCACCAAGGAGTCCATGTAACAGATAGGAATGCATCCAAAAGTAGCATATATTGTGCCTCACATTGTCTTAATTCCAATGCATTTATGTGAAAGTAGCACGCAAGGTTTCACACAATTTCAATATAGTATAGTCTTGGATTGCAGAAAAAAAAGACAAGGAATGACATTTCAATACCTTCACTGAGATTAGTGCACTGGAATATAAGGCCATTGTTGTTGCTTTTTGCACATAACTAACTACACATAAGGCACATGTAGCATATTCGAATATTTGCATAAAAAAACTCCAAAAGGTCTTCATATTTGAAAACACTCTGTAGTTACCATTTTGTGAACAATTTAAAGGTACATAGTAGCTTTACTAGACATTTTTAAATGTATATGCCAGTGACTCAATCAGGTTGAATACAGTATTGTTATGACAACTTAAGGCATCCTGATGGCACAGCATGAGTTGTCTTTGTCTTGTGATACTTTTTTTTTGCTCAATTTGTGAGTAAATATAACTTTTCTGTGTATATTTACTGTAACAACATCATATAATTGCAATTACATCACTGCACATGCGTACAATTGGTCAACAAGCAAGCGAGTGAAGGAGGCAAGCGAGTGTGGAGCTCCCACCATAGTTGCGAATAAAAGTCCAAGATCAAGAGTTTATTCCAAGAGGAATAAAAGAAAGTCATGATGGGAAAACAGTATGACCGTTGGAGTTCACTAAAGCTGGAACTAAAGCTCAGGAAGCATTCTGATGTTGCTCTGAAATTAATAGACACCTGAGTCCATGTCCTCGCTAATAGTACTAATTGGTCTTAGTGACGCTGTTGAGCCCTACCCTCCGAGCTGTCAGTTTTCTGCAAGGAATTTCAGCACGGTCAAAACAGTCGGGGGTTACTTAGTAGGTGCGTCAATGGCTGCCATCTGTGTTTCTGATAGCTAGGCGTTAATTGCCAGTAGATGGCGTCACGTCTGTTTATGTCTGCTCATCACAACCAGTGCTGGGGTGCTATTTAGGCTCAAAAAGGACAATCAAAACACCACCAGGACAGAAGCTTGAAGTACTTAACCTTATTTTATTATAATAAATTGGATTTCTGTCTATTTTGTACAGGCATGTAACATGACTATGAACCTTTAAGTTTTAAGTCTCTCCAAAAACAAAAAGCAAGCACAATTCAAAATTTTCCATTACAAACATATGTGTGGCTATGAAGGTACTGGTAAGGAATCTATGGTGCAGAAAGGGGGTAGTGGAGTTAGGTGGATCGAGAAGGAGTGCTAACATTAGATGGCTTTCAACACGTTGAGGCAGTGTGGTGGGCGTGGCGGACGGCAAGGAAACACAGGTGCGCACAAGCAAGGCGGGCGGTTTCAGTGTGTTAGACTGCCGGGTAGAAGGAGGAGGGCTACAGAGGTATGGCTGGGGTGGGGGATGTAATGAAAAAGCACCAGGAGGTTGTTGTTGTGCTGCTCAGAGTGAGCGCCTGGTACATGTTTGCTGAGTCAGACAGAATGTGGCAGCGCCAGCTCTTTATCTCTGGTTTGACCCACATGACCCCATGGCAACTGACCACCGCTCGCTGGCCTACAGTTCCAAAACAGCAAACATGAACATGGTGGAGAGATGACAGCAGTAGACCCTGGCCTCCTTCCTCTCACACAAATTAGCCATACAAGGACTTTACCTAACCAATGAGAAGATTTGTAAAATGGTGGACCGCTTGCTCGACAAAAGTAACAGTGAGGCTTAAAAAGAACAATAAAAAATAAAACAGCAAGAAAAACCAACAAGAATGACCCTTTGAATATTCTGTGCCCACCTCGTTGGTTAAGCCGCATTGGAGAGAAAAAAACAGAGAAGACAGAAAGGTAGGGTCGAGTGCCATGTGACCTTGCACTTCAAACATCTGTCAACCCCATTTTTTTTATTTTCCAGAGGTCTATTTTTTCTATTCCCTAACTTTTCTCTCCATTTCACCTTTCCTCTCTCCTGTAATTTCCAATAATCCTTCTCTTTACTCCCGTCTCTAGATGCTACACCTCCTTTGTTGTGCGGAGGCGGATGTTGCTGAAGCACTTGCCCATTGCTTCGAACAATGGGTCGCAGAAGGTGTGCACAAAGATGGAGTAGACGCGGCTGATGCAGTGGGTCTCGATAAGGTAGCTCTTCACGCAGGGCACCACAGCCCAGATATGCACAAAGGAAAGAATGGCGAAGAAGATTCCCCAGATGAGTGCCAGGGGGATGCCGACCAGTGCCGTCAGCAGCCGATAGCACCAATACTTAGTGACGGTAAAAGTGGTGAAGCTAGCTTTCCACACGCCATCAAAGCTATAGGTTCCAGCAGGCTCTGCGATGATGTCTTCAAAGTCCACCTGAAGAAAAGGAGAGAAGAAAGAGGGGGTTAACACGCACACCTGATTAATTTATCAATACTCCTGACATAAGAAGGGTTCTGAAAACATTTCTACAGTTAGATTTTACTGAAGTCAAAAAAGTCAACAATTCAAACAAGCACCGTAATCTTAACCTGTTTGGTGGCTACACCAAAACCCTTAAAAGGGATTTTGAAACACATGAAAATGCATGAATTTAATTAGCTGCTGTCCTTGGGTCTAGCCTGCCATGTAAAACTGTTCCAATGACAGACAGAAGCCTTATTGTGGCAGTATGAAGCTGCTAATATGGAGGCACCACAACTGTTGCATTGTGTCCATGGTACTTGATAAATTTAACAGGTTTAACTTAAATCTCCGATGGGACGGTGCCCTACAAATGCTAAAGTGCATTCCAACAGTTGTGCGAAAGGCCCCTGTTTTGCAAATACAGAGAAGCGAGAGAGCTGCCACACCTTCAAAGTAAATAAAGGGAAATAGAAAAGATCTGATCTTTTATGCATCGCTAAAAGCAAACAGGGATTATTAGATGTTGGTGTGCAGAACATGCTTAAAAATCGAAATAGAAGAGAGAAAACGTAATGTTGACGAAAGATAAAGTAGGGAATGCTTTTAAGAGGTTTGCAGGGGGCTTTTAAAACAGCCATTATATTTTGTCCTCACTTTGCTTCAGTGCTGACAACCAAAACAGTCTTTCCCTGCTTTAATGCTCCCTACCTGTTGGACCTTTCCAATGTACCAAGGTTTCCCTTCTATATCCCACTTTTGGCCTCCAGTGCTAGCCGGCCAGCCGAAAAAGTCTCACCCTTCTATAGTGCTCCCTACCTGGTGGACCTCTTTAATGCTCCATTTTATTCTTTCTTATCCTGCTGTTAGCCTCCAGACCTTGCTGGTTAGCTGCTAGCCCTGTGGACTTATTGGATATAAAGCTGTCCCCCTTCAATGTCCCGCTGGTTTCATAGATCCAGAAGAGGACATGGCCAGGTGCCTTGTCCCAATTGTGGTGCATTCTCTTTGTTGGGGCCCCATTTTGGAGATTGCTCCAGTTTGAAGTTCAGAACGCTGTAACACCTTACATTAAGCTCCACAGAAAGCAGCCATGAATCAACTGTAGCTAGTTGACTCCAAGTTGGGAGAATCTCTGGATAATCTGAAGGACCCAGAGATGTGGGCAGCTTTTAAAAGCAATAAAAGCACCAGGATTCACCGTCAAATTCAGGTCCGCCATGTAATGAAACCGACAACCAGCATATTCAGTTATGTGGAATTGCCTTTCATCCACCGTGTGAATGTTTTAGGCCAATTCTCAGGCAGCTCTCTGGAGGTCATTCATCAGGTCCCTCTTTGTAGTTGTGGTATTCTGGCTAATTTTTTTCGTGATCTTTTTCACTCCACAGAATAAGATCTTGTGTGGGGCTCCAGATCGAGGGAGATTATGAATGGTCTTATATGCCTTCCATTTTCTTTCAATATTTTTGTTCCTCCAGTCCTTCTATAGCTCTTTGGTTTGGTAATGGCTGAGTTAAGAGTCTGACTGTTTGAAGCTGTGGACAGGTGTCTTTTATACAGATAACGAGTTCAAACAGATACCATTAATACAGCTAATAAGTGGAGGACAGAAAAGCCTCTTAAAGATAGGTTACAGGTTTGTGAAGGCAAGATATCTGGCTTGTTTGTGGATGACCAAATACTTCCGCCATAATTTTAAAATAAATTCTTTAAATATCCCACTATTTACTATTTATCCAACTATTTATTTAGTTGGATCCAACTGTTTTACTTTCTTTGCTACCTGCTTTTATAATTTTTTAACTTGCTTTTATTTTGCATTTTTGAGGTCCAATTGTTTTATTTGTTTTACAAATGTTTTTGCTTTCATTCTACTTATATTTGACTATCTAATTCGAGTAAAGCACTTGTCCATGTACTGATTTGTGCTATACAAATAAAATGGCCTTGCCTTGCCTTACCATGTGAACAATACTATGTGTAACTTATTTATCAATACATCATTCCTACATGTGCCAGCAGTTTTGGATTTTGTAGTCTCCTTTGGTAAAAACTAAGTTTAACTATGAGTGTTCCACTCTTTTTTGTGACACTTCAAAAATACTTCAGCTGTTAGTAAAACACAGATTTGTGGGACCACTGAAAATGTGCACATCCCATATTTAATACACCATACAAGCCATAACCACAGGCTATAACTTAAAAAAACAACTTTTTGGATGGAACCAAAAAAGTAAGAGATATAATCTGATGCTTATTATGGAAGAATATACTGCTTTAATAATAAGTATTCACTGCATGTATGTACACTTAAAACAACTGAAGCTGTGGCTATATAAAAATTGAACTTTGCTAATTAATATAACGCATCAGTCTCCGCCATTGAGAAATAGGTTTCACAAGAGCACTGATATGGTGCAAATGAAACCACCAGACAAGCTTGATAGTCTGAACTCATTATTCAAACATAAATCAGCTGCTTCAGTCCTTGTTAAAGTGTCAGTTCTGCTGAATTGCAGGGTGGGATTCCTTGCAAGATTTATATCTCTCCGTGCTGTAGCTGGTACGCAATTCAAAATGCGCCCAACCCAAAATACTAATGTCTGCACACAGACAGACACACTACCGCTGGCATCTGCTTTGTTTTCACCAAATCAGCTTGAGATTATTTCCCAAAGACCCCAGGACATTGATTCATTGGACAAACAGTAGAAAAAATTAGACATTCCAACCATAGCTTTGTTCATATATCTCTGCTTCTTACCTGCTATAATCAAAAAGTAGAGGAACATACTTTTTCTGACTCCCTTAGGCTTTTAGCAGGATGCTCCCTGCTGCTGTCAGTTACCTGACTTGTACTGTTTAAGAAAAGAAAAACACACCATCACCATGCGTATTCTCTCTCCCTCTCTGTCTCTCTTCATTTTCTCCTTCTTTCAATGGGTTGTGAGCATCTGAATAAATGTTTATTTTTCAGTTCCATGGAGACTGGGTTTTTTCAAACAGAACGACTGAACCAGTGAGAACTAATGGCTATAATATCAATAAATCATGAGGATAATCCCCTCTGTCATGCTTACAGTAAAACAGAAAAGTGAAGTTCTTCATTTCTTACTAATTCACCTGTTTAGAGATGGGATTACTTTCTAGATCTGTTGATAATAAAAAAAAAAAGAAATGTCTTGGAATAAGCGGACCTTTTCAAGCTGACCCGATGAGAGCAAAAATTGCAAAATATAGCTTATGTAGTCATGGTAACTAATTTGGTTTTACTGGTATTTGTAAGGAGCAGATGACCGGCTTAAAATCAGAAGCACTGTTCTCTGTCAATGTAGAGTTATAGCTAGCATTTAAGCTACAGCCCTGTAGTAAGTACACAGGACAATATACAAATAGTTTATGCAAAACTTTTGCCATGGAAACTAGTATTGGGTTTTGCAAACTTAGCAGCTCCATTTTTTTTTTGGAGACAGACACAACTGCTTTAAGAGGCTTGTGCATATTGATGATTGGATGCACAATATTTAATTGCAAACTTAGGGTCTGCCTATTTTTGACAGATTTTTTCAGTGCCTTTTCACTGCCACAAAACAATCAACACACTGCTAAAGTGAACTGCACTTAAAACATGTTAATTCTCTTTTTAATATTTCATTTGAGCTGAAAACTGTTTTACCTAGCATCACTGAATGTCTTCAATATGGGAGTGAACATCTGGTAAACTAAGACACCTTTAGGGGCAGGATCCCTTCTTTGTAGTGTTCTGCACCTTTTAGATGTGTCTGTTCTTTAACATACCTGAGTAAAATACTCGGTTCTTTAGCAGGACTCTGGAAAGCTTGACTGCAAACAGAGGTGGTAATTAATCCATTTAATCCAGGTGTGTAAAATCATAGACATCTAAAAGGGGCAGGACCTCATACGTTAAGGACTGGAAACCTACTTTATGGTTATACTTTAGATTTTCTTATACAACAGAAAAGTGAGACATTTTCCCTCAAAGGTAAGTCCTTAGTGACTGCTGTATTTTAGGTGACTGTAATGCAGTAAACATAGAGTCCCACAAAAAAAAAGTTTCCCCACTCATGAATTTCTTCTTTTTCTTTTATTGTCAGACATTACCGACCCGGCCGCCCACACATCCACCACCAATGGGCAACTACACATTTTATGCGTCTTCTTGTATTTATGTTGTAATGCTTGAGTAATTAATTCATGTCATTTAACATTTATTTTGTATGTCAATTAGGTTAGCTGTGTTGCTTTAAATTGCTTATAAATAAAATAGCCTAATATCAACTACTAAGACCACATTTTACTGCTGCATGATTTTCTTGTTATAAAATTTCCTAGTTTTAAAGGTTACACCTGTGTCATACCAAAACTGACGCTTCCTGTTGCAACGTGGGGGCTGGTTTTTATCTAACTTCCAATTTTATCCAAGAACAGTGCTAGGAAAAAAAGGGACCAAAGAGTATCTCTTTTTTAACAATCCAAACACAGTGTGGTGGGATTCTGTGTATTATCAAGCACAACAGCGCACTTGGTCAAGGCAAGACTATCAGTGCTGATGATATAGGATCAAGCATATGCTTTGGCCCAGATTTCTTCAGAGATTTTCTGTATTATGTCAAAACACACAGTCTTCCATCAATTTTCAGAAATAACAAATAACCTTATTCTTAAATTTTTTGATATTATAGAAATATAATAAATTTATGTTAGGGTTTGATTTTGGTCATCCTAACTGACCTAAAATGGAAAAGGATCAGTCTAATTGAATCACAACATTACACATTGTTAAATTGTATACACATAGAGCAGTTAAGTTTATCCTAAGTTGTAAAGATATTTTATAAATGCCTTTTCTTTCTCATCACAGTTGCACTGATTGTCCTGCCACTGATCCATGGTGCTCCTTGCTGTCTAGATAGTAAAAGGCTAATAAGATATGAAATAGCTGTAACTAT